TAAATGTTGGTGAGATGATCCACATATTGACTTTAACTTGAAAAACATCTCCAGATTGCCCACAAATGGTTAGAAGTTTTTAACAAAATACAAATTTGGAGCATTTTTAAGAATCTTACAACCGAGTTTGCTAATTGCCCCACATAAAAACTGCATTTTTTCACGTGTAAATTGCAATCCTAAATGCTGATCTCATTTGGAGAGTCTAAATAAATCTGATTCAAAGCCTTTTTTCTTCTGTCTTTCAATTCTGTGATATGTTACTTTAAGATGACTTTAGTACTTATGTACAACATGGCACTTTATCCAATGTAGTAACACATGTTCATGTGAGCAAAGCTCTTTATAGCCTTACTTTTAAGAGTCCTGTACTCACTCTCTCAGCACTCATGGTTAGATGGATAAACCTTAGTGCCTTGAAAGGCACTCAGCTGAGGAGGCCCACCATGTGTTGGCACACATCTTTGATGCCCACCTGTGAATTCATTCCCCCAGATTCTCCCCTGTAATCAAGGAGAAGACATTTAATACTTGGTTAGACATAAGAGCAAACCAAAGCCCATTCCTATATCCTGACTTATATGAGAAATCTGCCCCCAAACTCCCGCTTCCTAGATGTCTGTAGAGATGATGCTTTCTTTTCCCTCATTTAAGGAGCCTTAACTGAGCTTCTGGCCGGTCAGTCTCCACGGTGGGTGCTGAGTCTAGCGGGGGGGAGAGGGTGAAGCAGGGCCGCAACTAGCCCACACTGGACTTTCAGGTAAATTAGAGAAGAGTGGCTCCTTCCACTGGAGAGGCAGGCACCAGGGGCTTGGGAAGTGGAGCGCAAATTGGATTTCAGCCTCCACTTGCCCTTTGGGCAGGATGACCTTGTACAGTGAGGTCATCTCACTGTAAAATTGTGAGCTGTTTACCCAGTTCTACAAGGTGGCTTCCCTGTTGGCTCAGATAGTAAAGAATCTGCCTCCAATGCAAGAGACCTGGACTCGATCCCTGGGTCAGAAAGATCCCTTAGAGTAGGAAATGGCAACCCACTCCAGTATTCTTGCCTGGAGAATTCCACGGACAGAGGAGAGCCTGGGAGGCTATAGTTACTGAGGCCGCAGAGAGCTGGACACCACTGAGCAACTAACATGCGTGCACACATGCATGGCCAGAGGCGTTACAAACACAAACTGTTCTAGTAGAGATGACGGCTACTAAAGAGAGAGCTTAACCACCCAGCAATAATGAGGAGGAGAGCCTGCCTGAGAAGGGATGTGACTGACACATGACGGACGTGTGGGTAATCAACAGATGGATCAATGGAGTAAGAACAGTATAAACAGAATGTTCATTCACTCCAGACAGTGGTCTGCAAACGACAACTTGGAAGGCGTCTGATGAGTCTGTGAGTGGGTGCAAGGGGAGAGGGAGGGAGAGATGTGTGTGCGCGTGTGTGTGTGCGCGTGCGTGAGTGTAAGGGGGTAGAGAGAAACTTGTGGGAGAGACAGGACAGGAAGCTGGAAAGGCAGGCAGGGGCCAGATGATGAAGCATTTTATACATAGGCAAATTAAGGTGCTGAAATTTGATTCTGACACCATTAGGGGTTCCTTTTGCCACTGTAAATAATAAACTATTCAATTATACCTTGCCCTGTTTTTAACATTTACCAATCACAAGGTAATTAGGGGCTCTGATTCCAAAGCAAGAAGTTTCATCCTATAAACAGGTAAAAGTCAATGAAAAGAAGTTGGCTTTTTGAACTGCACCAATCTTAATACTACATTTTTAGAACATAAAAAAGCCCAAAGAACACCAGACAATGTTTTGTAAGTGTGTATGTACACAAGATCTATTGGTTATGCTCAAATGCTAAGACCAGAAATTGAAACTTTATTTAGAGCCTAGGGCTGAAATATTTATAGCATATGGTCTGCACCTGTAAGACTAGGAAGACTTAAAGACTTATTAGCCACCCTCCAGCTTAAATCTATCTGAGAGGCATTGGAGATAACCAGGTGCTGTCGGTTAAAATAATTGTCAGCGGCCTTTGAGGAAGGGGAGGTAGAACAAGATAAATAAGCATGAGAAGAGAACCCCAAAACCATGGCCACGTGGTGAGTTAAGGTCTTATCGCCACCCAAGGCCGCGTAGATTACAACTGTCACGAAGCGGCCTCTCCCAGGGGCCCCGCAGAGGCAACGCGAAGGGAATGATCTTCAGGACCAAGCCGACTCCCCTCCCCCCAGTTAAGTAAAGTTACCCCATTTTGCTATTTTAAAAAGTTAAGAGGCACAGGGAAGCGCAACATATTAAGTTTCACCGAGTCTTAAAGAGAAACTACCCCGGTGCAATCGTAACCCCCTCACCTTTGCGGCGACGGCCCGGCCGTCAATTGTTGGAAGAATGGCCTCTTTTCTTTCCAAACTGTTTTTGGTAAATATGATCCGTTTGCGACACGACGTGTCGATTTTCCCAGAAACTTGGCACCTGGGCCCCTCGGAGCCGAGCCGGGCGGGGGCGCGGCGGCGGGACTCCAGCTCTTCCGCTCGGCGGCCCCGGCGCTCGGGGGACCCTGAGTTGGGCGATCCGAGCCACGGGCGCTGGGGGCCGCGCTCCCAGGACCTTCCCGGCGCTGGGCCGCCACACCCCCGAGACCCCTACCGCGGGGTTTGGGAAAGCGTTTCCTCCGCGCCGCCAGCCTGCGCGGGGTCCCGGGCGTGCCAGGGCGCCACTCCCGATGCTCCGGGCACCGCCGGCTGGGCGACCGCAGCCGCCACCCTGGGCTCCCCGCCCGGGGCAGGCGGAGGAGGGCGCAGGGAACAAAGCCGAGGAGGTGGGCCACCCGCCCCGAGTCCCGGGCCGAGGTGGTCTGGACTCGCCCCCACCCCACCCCCTCCAGCGCCCCCCTTACCTGGGTTGAGAGCCCGACACTCGCCCGGGCCCCCGATCGGCGACACGGCCGGTCCCCCAGGGTCCCGGGTGCGCGCAGGGCGGCACCAGCCGAGTTGGAGAAGTTCCCGGGGTTACTTCGTCCACGCGCGGGCGGTCAGCCTCCGGCGGCTGCGGCTGCCCCTCGCCCCGCGCGCAGCGCCTTTGGTGGCGAGAGGAGCCGCACCTTCCTCTCGGGCTGCTGGGCCCGCCTCCTCCCCGCCCCGCCGCCCAGCCCAGCCCAGCCCAGCCCACCTCCCACCATTCCCCATCCTTCCACTCCCCCCCACCACCAAAAGCCCCCACCCCCGCCCCAGGCCGGCGCGCATCCGCAGCCGCGCCCACCGAGCCAGCCCCCCGACCCTCCCTCACCCGTTCCCACCCCCGTACCCCGCGATCGCCTACTGCCCTTTCCTTCTAGGACGTCCCCAACTAACCAACGGCGAGAACTCCGCGAGCTTCGAGTAAGCGCCTTCCTGTGAACTCTTCTGCGCCCAGCCTGCCATCGAGGATGCGAAGCGTTAAGATCCAGTTCCTTCCCCAAAGAGCCGAGAGAGCGAAGATGCTAACTTGGGTACCACTGAGGGCAGGAGCAGGCGGTATCTGAAGCCCCGTGCAGACAGGAGAGACTGCTAGTCTCCTAACCTTCCCAGAATAGCGAGAGGGAGGAGACGGGGGTTCAGGAGAATTCGGACCTTCCAGGTGAAAGCTGTAGAGTTTATTAGAGAAACCTGAGGAATCCAGAGGGCCCGGGTGATGGAGACGGGGTAGGACACTCAGGAGAACCAGGAATGAAGGCTGTGTTACCGTGATCGCTGTCTCTGCCTTTACAAAGGCTCTCCCGGAGAGAGAAGGAAAGGGGAAGATATAGTCCGTGTGCTAGTGTGGGTCCTTCAAAAAGCAGGCGCCAACGCAGGAGTAGATACGATGGATTTTCTTAGGGGAGATGGTTGTGGAATGAAATGTGAAGGGATCCCGGAGAGGCAGGCGTCCTGCAAGTCTGACCCCAGTTAAGGAGACAGAAGCAACCGTCCTGACCTCCTGGCAGCCTCAGGAAGATAGTGGGAGAGTCCTACGTCTAAAGTGACCCATTCCAGGAGGCCAGTTCTCCTTGGCACCCAGCTGCCTTAGCACCCGTGTCTCCACCCGTGGTTAGCTGGGAGCAGGCAGACAAGAAGTGTGGCCTTGGGCACAAACCCAGACATGAATTTCAGGACACACCAGCCAGGGCCCTTCCTCAGTTAAACTCCAGAAAGCTGGAGAGGGTCCGAGATCTTCAAGGAAGCTTTCCCCAGCTGGCGCCAGGCTAAAAGACACGTGGAAGCAACCTTCTCACACACAGCTACAACTTTTAAATGAAGTCCCAAGATTTGCTGTGCTCAGACACACCTGGCTCTCCATTTTCCACTGCCACAGGCCCTGCCCACACTGAACCCTCTTGCCTACATAGACCCTCCCTGGTCCTGTCTCGACGTGACTCTGCCTGCTGAAACGTCTCCCACCCTACTCACTCTCCAGTTCCCAACTCAAGCATCACCTTAGCACAGCCCTGCCACCCTGGGATCTTTACATGCTTTTCCCCTGGCTTCTTGGGTCATGTTTTTTCATACTTTTTCCCCCCAAAATTTTTTTTTCTGACTATTGCAGACTTGGGAAAGTACATGTAACCCAAATGTCTCCAACTCCCTCCCAGCCCCCCTTCAAGGGACACCTTCTCAGGATAATCAGAGTCTGAGCCCCAACCTATGTGTTCCAGTCTGGGTCTAATCAGGAAAGAGAAACCACACAGTAATTAAGCAGTAAAAGTTTAATATAAAGAATAATTGGGACTTCCATGTGGTCCAGCGACTAACACTCTGTTCTCAATGCAGGGGGCCCAGGTTCGACCCCCCGTCAGGGAACTAGATCCCACATGCCACAACGAAGCATTCGCATGCCACAACTAAAGGTTCCATGCAGGCAAGTAAATAATAGGAAAAGCAAATTATTAACTATATGACAGGATTTGGAGCAAAGAAGTGTTGATTAGTTAGAAGTAAAGAGAACTCAGAAGAGAACAGGGACAGCAGATATAAATATTTTCTTTTTAAGCAGCCACAACCCATGGGGCTGTGATAGAGCCTTCCCGTATCCCAGCCTGAGACCAGACCCTGTTGGGGAGAAGGTGGCTCTGGCTCACCAAGTGGAGGGGAATCACTGTGCTCTCATGCCAATGGAACTTGCTGGAAATCCACCCCCTAAAACTTCCTGAATATCGACCCCCTTGGGTGTGGGGAAGCTGTTCAAAAAGGAAGTGTCTTATGGAAAACCACTGCCCTGCAAAAACTACCCAGAAGAGGTGCCAGAAGGAGCTGGTGGTCACTGGATGCCCCTGGCACTGCAGAAGCCTGGTATTGAACAAACAGCACAGAAACCGGTCGAGAAAGGTCACAGCAGCCGCAGGCAGAGCTGTGCCCTCCCACAAGGCCCCCCCGACACCCTGCACTGACAAGGCCAAACCACAAACCAGCTGGCAGAGAAAATTACACAAAAGGCCCAGACGACTTTTTACAAAGAAGGCAAAAAGGGTGAATTTGGAGCTGACAGGCCATGAGTCCATGACTGGCATACTATGTAACCTCAGCAAAGTCCAGGCATTCTCCGGTTTCCCCTCCCCAAATATGCCTGCACGTTCCAGGTGACCACTGTTAATTATCTCTCTGAATCTCACCCTACTACCCTTCCTTCCCTCCGCCTGCCGTTTTGTTCCTGACTCCCACTCCTTCCACTGCATTTTCTCCTATGGCTTTCCAAGGAGGAGGCCAGCTTCCTCACCCAGCTTCTCAAACCACAGCTGTGACCACGTTGAGAGGATCAACAAAATTGAACGGCATCTTGGGGCAACAGAAAGGGAATTGCAGAAGGGGAAAATAAAAGAGCTGAAACCAACGAATGATCCCCAAGTTGCGGAACCATCCAGAGCATCTCTCTCCTGAGCCCAAGCCCCCAACAGGACCCCCAGCAGAATCCAGGCTGCAATGCTATCAGGGCCTAGTGAGAGAGGCCTCAATCTTGGTCCCACTCCATTCAGTAAAAAATAATCAATCTGCAGAGATGACGCTCTGTCTGTAGTAAAGGTGAGCATTCACATCGTTAGGGAGAGAAATTTCACCCTCCAGGACTAAAACTTGCTCAGTTATTAATCCATTTGTGGAGACTTTTAATCCATTTATGGAGACTGGACTCCACACCTGGCCCTGTAGCAGGTCGTGGGTATATAATCAATGTCATCGTTACAATGTGAGGGAGATGCATAGTAAATAAATCATTCTATGAATAGTTCTTTTTGTGTCTCCGCTAAAGGTGCAGAGCATATAATAATGAGTTAATCCAGCTCTAAGGGACGACTGAGTTAGCACCATTGATCCAGGTGAAGGGAGCAGTTAATTTGAAGCTCTGAGGTTTGACAGAGCTGGGCCCATCAGAAAGGAAGGGAATAAGGACAGAAGAGCCAGAGAGGAAGCCACGGAAGAGCCAGTCAGGCATGCTCTTGTAGGCACGTTAAGAATTTTGGATTTTATCCTTAGAACAATGAGAACCTTCTGAAGGTTTTAAGCACCAGTTGTAGCTTGAGGGTAGAGGATGGGGCGGGGGGTGGGGGGTGGAGAATAAACTAGAGGCTCTATTTGGGAAGGGCATGCGGAGAACTGTTCAGAACCATTTGGACCTGGAGACGAAGACAGAGAAATAACTGGCCGGGAGAAACAGGGTCTAACCCAGGGCCTGTCTGAGATTCCGCTGGGAAAGACTAGGCAGAGACAGGACTCTGGTGAGATGGAGTCCAAAACAAAGCTGAGGGGAAAGAGCCAGGGGCCTGGGAGACCATCGGGAAGTTGTCATCTTCGATAAGAAGCAAGATTACTTCTCTTTAGAAATACCAAAGGCCCAATTAAAGCAAATCTACCTACTCCCAAAGATATATTCAAACTGAATCCACGCAAAGACCAGAACAGCTTGGTTTTTTAAAAAAGGCAAGCCCCAGTGTTCTCACTGTCCATTCACATCATTGCCACCAAGATGCTTCAGTTATAGCATCCTAGCATTTACTAGAAAGTTAAAAATAATATTAGATATAACCCCACTCCCTAGGGGAAAAAAAACTGTTCTGTCATATTCTTTTGCAGACTTTTCATACTTAAATTACTCTAATTTTCTTGAAGGGATCAACCCAATTCATCTTTTCACCCCCAGTGATTTTGTATGTTTTCTGGCACCTAAAGGGTCCCAGTGTTTGCAGAATTGAAATTTGTTGCCAAAATCTTCTGTTGGAGTTTTTGGTAGCAGGACACTGAATCGACAGCTCCAACAAACAAGTCATGCTTCCTCTGTTCTATGTCAGAATGAGTGTTCTTAAAGCACCTTTCTAGTTTTTTGGAACTTGTCTGTGTGTTTTGGAAGTTGCGGGTTTTTGTTCTCTTTTCTCTCTCTCCCAGAACCTAAGGGAAGAGAGTCTTCTTTGCCAAGTAAACTCTCTGCCTCAGCCTGGGCCCCGCTGGTTACAGAAATGACATTCGACACACACACAATGGTGATACCACTCAAGAATGGCTACATCTAATACCTATCTCCACAGAGCTCAAATTCACTTTTTCGGCCTGTTTGTGGGCGAGAAGGAGGAGTCTAGCGATGGTTACTTCCTCTAAGAAGAGCTTTTCTATTACTTCATGCCCCGAATTAACAGGCTCCACGCAGCCTCCCTCCCAGCGCCCCAGGATCCAGTAAACAAAGGCCACACTGACTCCAGCCCAGCGTCTCCCGGCACAGGCAGGCAGTGTTGCCAGTAGGTCAGGCTAACTTTGGAAAAGTCAAGATTTCCCGGGGCGGGGGGTGGGGAGTGTGGGGGGCCCGGGTGGGTGGGAGGGGGTCGGGTGGCCTTTTCAAGGGAGGCCGCAGCTCTGCTTTCTGAAGATCACTGGCCCAATGCACATAGTTTCTTTCAGCCGTTCCGGGAGCTTGCACAAGCCACTTCACAGCACTTTTCCACCTCCTGAAAGAAAGAAGGCATTAGGCCTGATTACAATTCCCGAAAGCTACGTATATCCCGATAATCTGGATCCACCCTGCACTGCCTGCAAACCAGTTGCATGTGTGTCTGATGGGGGTGGGGGGTGGTGACAGGGGGGAGGCACACCTGCTCACACGGATGATGGACTTTTCTTTCTCAGATTCATCTGGCCCATTTTTCCTTCCCACTGACAAATAACTATAGAGTGGAACTAATCTATTCTTGCAAAAAAAATGAAAAACAAAAGGTAAGATTACTACCCCATAATAAAAGGTCTATGCTTGTTTAGAAGGTTGCTCAAGATTCCAGGTCTAAAAAAACACATTTAATTCCGCAGAGAATCTGTCTTGGCCAGGGCTGACACTGTCTCTGCTCCAGCCCTGAGATGGAAAACATCTCTCTGCATCTCCAAAGAGGAGACAGAGGTCCTCAGTACTCCCTGGAAAGCACGCTACTCCTACATTTGTGAGTGAGCTTTGAGCAGATCAGTCCAAGTTACCAACGCTCTGGTCTGACTTCTGTGTAACTCACATGTGGACAACCTCCAAGACCAGTGAAAGACTTTAAATCTTGGGTTTCACCCTCAAAAGACATACCCTTGAAAAAACAATGCCTGTGATATTGATTGTTTTTGTTGTGCTTTGGGTTTGGTTTGGTTTTGTTCTCTTGGCCCAGCGGTGCAGCATGCAGGATCTTAGCTCCCTGACCAGGGATCAAACGCATGCCACCTGCAGTGGAAGGATGGAACTGTAACCACCAGACCACCAGGGAATTCCCTGATTGTTCTAGGTTGATAAAACTCATGTTATTTTAAGTTTGTTTCGTTTTCCATAACTTATGAAATCTGATAAGCATAAAAGTATTTTCTGAATCAACATAAAATATCAATTTTAATGCTTGTATACCTTAAAGAGGTCCAGTCAATTCTTGTTTGATAGCTGGTTATGTGGCCAGCCTTTATTTTCACTGGAGCCCTCAGCCAAGGAAATGTGTTTGCTGAACCCATAAACTTTCCGTGAAATGCAAGACATACAAAACAAGAGCACGCCTTTTTCCTCAAGTTCCCCTTAATGGCCCTGAGTTCCATGTTTTCAATTTCCTCGTCCCGTTAAACTCGTTCTTGGACTTCGTCGCAGGATCTCTAGTTGGACTCTTCCTGAATTCCTTGTCCTTCCTCCCAGCCTTGTTCACTATGTTGGGTCATTTCCATTTGCCCCTCAAAGCACAGTCTTCCTAACTTTCTGTTATATAAGTGCTGCTTATTATTATTATTATTATTGAAAGTATTAGGGGTTTGGAGTTTGGATGTCACAGTTCTAAGCAAGTCGGAAGGGAGGGAAAACAGATCAACTTCCATTCATGGGCTAAGACAATTTAAGCCACGTCTGAAGTTGAGGGTTGTTGGCATGGAGCCATCTGGTATATGGACAAGATCTTCACATGGGAAGTGAATTTTGACCTTAATCTACATAGAGAATGGATTTCCACCATTATGTTAGAGCTGGCCGCTTTCTCCTCGTAAGTGGAGCTATGAAATCCATTTAGGTATATGGGTGTGGTGGTGGTGGTTGTTGCTTAGTCAGTAAGTCACATCCAATACTTTTGCAACCCCGTGGACTGTAGCCCGCCAGGTTCCTCAGTCCATGAGATTTCCCAGACAAGAATCCTGGAGTGGGTAGCCATTTCCTTCTCCAGGGGATCTTTCTGATTCAGGGATCAAACCCAGGTCTCCTGCACTGACCTTGAGCCTGGGAAGGCCATACCCATGAGAAATGAGAATAAATCACATTAACTGTTATGTACCTCCTCTAAAAGTTACTATTTGATGATGATATATAATTTGTGGGTTTCAGTTTCAAAGCTAGGGTATTAAATGAGCTAAAATCTAACCTTGAGCTCAGATTTACATATTTGCCTATTTCTCCTTGGTCCAATATATCTCAAAAGAAAGGAAAAGAAAGTCTTAGGGTATCCTATAACAACTATAGTAGATGTTTATCAAATGCACCCTATACATTGCAAACTTACATATATAGGAAATAAACATGTGCATGTCAATATGCATAGACAATTTGATTCTTTTAAACAGCTTCATTCCAATGCATTTTTAGAAAAATTTACAAACTTTAGTAATAGAATGAGGAAATCATGTCATGCAGGAAAAAAGCTGCCTTTTGTTTAGCACATTACATAAACACTTATTAAATTAACAAATACATAAATTAATAAATTTTTATCATTTAATTGGGACAATAATACCCTGACTTCATGGCTACTGTTTGGTTTTTCACCCAAACTTTCTCATTAGAAAGGTTAAATAAGCCATAAGCTTTAAAATCCACATGCCAGGCTTTTAAATCAGATATAGTTTTTGATAGGACTCTGTATAACCTTTCTATAAGAAGTTAGGTCTGAATCTTTATACTGTAAAGAATACATCTCCATTAAAAAAAATTTTTTTTTTTAATCATTTTGGCATCACAGTGTTCTAGATTTTAAAACTACCACCACCATCTGCAGTGGTTCCCCAAAGTTACAGGATTAATGAAGTCTTTTCCCTGCTATTGTGTTAAGAGTTTTAAAAACATCCCTATTTTACCATTTTTTTAAAGAAGAAGAAAGGAAAAAAAAAGGGACTTTGTTTTTGTCTACTTTTCTTGCTTCTGGAATACCCTGCTCACTCCCACCTTCCTTCCCCCTCTCCCAAGAAGGGATGGGAACTCTGCATATTTTATTATTATTTCACGTCATTGGAATGAGAGTCTCAGCAAACACACTTTCTCTTGTGGAATTCCCTAATAAAAACAGACAGCTTGTTTTGAACAAGCAGCCTCTGGAACAGGAGAAGCAGCAGAAGCTGGTGCAGGAGCTGATTGGGTTTTTCCTCTGGCCTCACAGATTGTCTTTATCATTTGTGATGATAAAGCCCACAGGGCCATGAGAGAACTTATAAAGCAAGTTTTCAAAAATATCTATTTTTTATTTATTCGGCTATGCTGGGTCCTAGTTGTGGCATGTGGGATCTAGTTCCCTGACCAAGGATCGAACTCGAGTCCCCTGCATTGGGAGTGTGGAGTCTT